CCTGGCGATTGGCAGCTTCATCACAACAATGATACATCATGTCATGATGCATGATACCTGGTCGCATGAGCATTGCATCATGCCTGGTGCAATTTTTTGGAGAAACATCAAATCACCCAGGTGACTCAGCCCCTCTACAGCCCAGATTTGGCACCCTGAGACTTCTGGGTTTCCCCAAAACTAGAATCACCTTTGAAAGGGAAGAGATTTCAGGCTGTCAATGAGATTCAGGAAAATATGATGGAGATTCAGGAAAAAAGCTGATGGTGATTGGGAGAACTGTGTGAGGTCCCAAGGTGCTTACTTTGAAGGGGACTAAGGTGTCATTGTTTTGTGTACAGTGTTTCTTGTATTTTGTATCTTCTTCAATAAATGTCTCTTTTTCTTTTTTTTAATTTTTATTTTTTTTAATTTTTAGAGAGAGGAGAAGTGAAGGAGAAAGAAAGGGAGAGAAACATCAATGTGCGGTTGCCTCTTGTACACCCCCTACTGGGGACTTGGCCCATAACCCAGGCATATGCCCTGACTGGGAATTGAACTGGTGACCCTTTGGTTCACAGGCCGATGCTGAATCCACTGAGCCACACCAGCCAGGGCTCTATTTTTCATAACACATGGTTGGATACCTTCTGAACAGACCTCATATATACATACATGTACATGTACTTATATGCCTAAAGTTACACTTATTTGCATAGTTACACAACAGTTACATGTAATGTAGTTACGAGTTACAAATAACACACACATATACGATCATTTGACTTGTATCATCGCATATATAAACATTTGCATTTCATATTTAATCTGACTTATTCTGCATATATATGCTGAAACAAACTTTGTCAACAGAAACGCACAGAGCATTGAAGGAAAAGTAAAAGGAAGATGACCCCAAATCTCAAAGTCCAAGAGGCCCCGTGAGAAGGTAAATCTGCTGTCTTGATTAAATGGCTTCGGTGTCCTTGAACATGGAACCGACTCTTTGACTCTTACAACTTCATTGAGGAAATGACAACTCACCCACAAACAACCAGAGAGCAAAACAAGGCAGTAAAATCAGCCAGCCCAGGGCAGACTGTGTGGTCCACCTACAGCAGCCCCAGGGCCATGCGGGGGGAATAAAGACAGCAGCCTGAACACACAGCCAGAGACCCGGCCGTTTACTGCGGGAGGCCGTGGCCCACGCCAGGCAAGGGGCCTTGCGTGGGTCAAGAGTCACAGCCCACTGTGCCCACCCTCCACTCTCTCATTTTCTTTCCACCTTTTCTAGCACAATCAACGTTTATTCAGGACCAACCACGCAAGGAACTAGGGGCTGGAGAAAAAAATGCAACATTTTCCCCGGGGAGTTAGATATAAAAACAAGTAAGGCAGAAACAGCTAAGCATCAAATAAGTAACACTGATTTTGCTGCCAAAGGAAGGCGAGAAGGTGGAGGGCTACAAAGGTTGGCTGGGGAAGGTTTCTTGGGTTTCATGATGCCTGGCCAAGCCTTGAAGGAAAATTAAGATTCAGACAGCTGAGTGTTACAAAGGGTTATTAGAGCACTGGGGTGGCTCAGTGGGTTGAGCACCGGCCTGCGAACCAAAGGGTCACTGGTTTGAGTCCCAGTCGGGCTACCTGCCTGGGTTGTGGGTCTGGTCCCCAGTCAGGGGTGCAGGAGAGGCAACCACACCTGATGTTTCTCTCTCTCTCTTTCACCCTCCCTTTCTCTAAAAACAAATAAGTAAAACCTTTTAAAAATAAAATAAAATTATATAGTTTCAAGTGTCCAATTTAAAAGTTTTTGGAGACAAGAAGTGTGAATCGAGACAAGGTTTGCACCATTTGAATGTACCAACACGACTCAACTACAACTTCAAATGGTGAGGATGATAAATTTGATGTGTACGCTATCACAGTCTTTTTTTTAATCCTTACCCGAGGATATGTTTTTACTGATTTTAGAGAGGGGGAGGGAGAGAGAAGGGGAAAGAAACATCAATCGGTTGCCTCCTGTACGCACCCTGACCAGGGACTGAACCCACGGCCTAGGGATGTGCTGACTGAAGATCAAGCCACACTTTTGTGCACAGGATGATGTTCCACTCAACTGAGCCACCCGGCGAGGGCCACAGTGGATTTAATTATTTTTTTTAAGATTTTTATTTATTTATAGAGAGGGGAAGGGAGAGAGAAAGAGAAGGAAAAATCATGTGTGAGAGAAACATCAATCAGTTGCTTCTCACATGTCCCCAACTGGGGACCTGGCCCACAACCTAGGCATGTGCCCTGACCAGGAACCAAACTGGCAAACCCCCGGTTTGCAGGCGAGACCTCAATCTACTGAGCCATACAAGTCAGGGCTATTTTTTTTTTAAACAGTGCTTCCTAAACAGAAAAAAAAAAAAACCCTTTTTTTAAGGAAGGCATGAATGCACACTGCCATTGGTAGCGAGTAATGAGCTGAAAAGTCTGATTCTGCAGAGGGCTCGTACAGAGGCCACAGGTGACTCAGTCAAGTGGGCTGACGCTGGACTGAAAAACCTCATCACGGGTGGCACCTGACCCCCTCACCAAGGCTTCTAACCTCATGGTCCAAGGACGGGCGTCAAGTTTCAGCCGTGAACACCCTGTAATAAACTTCAAATGCTTGTTCGCATGTGTATTTTGACCTAGAGAGACAGTAAACGAACGGCTTTCAGATTCTCAAAAAAGTTTGTAACTTAGAAAACTTGGAAACCACTCACGCAGGCCATGGGCAGAGGGGCCTGTGTGGGGTGGGATGCGGCTGAGCTTTTAAAAGCTGAGCCCGTTTTCCCTGGGACTCGCTGTTACCTGAACACCAGACAGCACCGGACAAATGGATGCCACCCCTGCCGCTAGTGGTTCCTTCCTCGCTGAGTATCTAACAGAGCTACTGGCAATTTACGAGAGCAGCTCGCCAGGGAGACACCTGTTGTAGGAAGGAAACTAGCAGAGGGTGAGCAGAGAAGCAAAGCCAGTAAAAGGGACGGGGAGTGAGAAGGTGCAATAAATTCAAGTGCCACAGAAGCCAAAGGAAGAAAGTCCTGGGGGAGATGAAGCCCTTACCAGTGTCAAGTACAGAAAAAGGATTAAGAAAGATAAGGCAACATAAAAAAAAAAAAGAGAGACCCAAATTCTATGACCTTCAGATGCATGGATTCTGTCGGGTGATGAAATAAGAGGTCAGAGGTTAAGAATGAGGTGTCCCAGTTGGGACACGTGAAGAGCAAAGGGCAGTGCTGTTGACAATTTTGTCCAAACATCAGGCAGACCCCAGGCCTGTCCTGGGCAAACAGATCTAGTCGGTTACCTGGCTGAGGAGGAAGTTGGTAGAGGCGGGAAGGCAGCAGATACCAACTCAAAGGATTTGGCCGTGAAAAGGTAAACAGGATGTGAGTCAGAAGCACTAGTGAGATAAGGGAAGCCTTTATCAGTTACTTATATAGGAGGCAGGGCGACTTCTGGAGGTCTCAAAGGGGGAGGGGAGGGGTGGATGAGAGCGTCCTGCACCCTCCATCCCCCTGAACATCACCATGCACACAGAGGGAGCTCAGCGTTTCTTGCTCTAATGTTGACCGTGGGACTCTGATCCTCCCGGAAGGAGGAAGGAAGAGAGAATAAGCAGGAAAGGGGAGGGGCCTTTCTTCCTTCAGAACTATACAGAAGGAGGAAAGAAAATGTCTTAACACAAAAAGGCAGGCCAGAGCCTTTTATTTCAACCTAGTGCAGGTCAGCGCCACAGCCGTCACAGAAAGATGCATTTCCATTTCCAAATCGGCCTGAGGCCTTTTCTTCAAGGGAAAAAGTCGGTAAGAAGGTGAAGTGAACTCTTGGAGCTCTCTGGCACTAATTCCCACGGAGATGGTCAGAAGTAGAATAAGGAAATATATCCATGGCGTAACATCTGTCATTCAGTGCTGAGCAGTTGTGTTGCTGGTAATTTCCCTTCAGGCACATGTAAATTCAAACAGGTAAGAAAAGACCAGCTGGTGCTGGATGCAAAGAGGTGACCATACTGGCTCAGGGCTGTGGAACAGACGGCTTTTGTGGATGAAACGAGCAACAGAGTAAGAGAGGCTATGAAAGTGCCATCGGTGTCGACGCCTTACCAGCCCAGCAGAGTCAGGGGACCACAGTTGCAGTAGGACAAACTTGCAGCCAACTCTCCAAGCTGAGAGAACCATTTAAACACAATGTGGCCTGTGTAACCGTGCAGAAGAGCAGAAGAACGGAGCAGGACTGCACATGGCTAGCTCTTGCTTCTGGGACAGCTCTACTGACCGGGGGTAGGGGGGGCGACATTGGCAATGGGAGAACGAGCCACGCGCAGCATCGTCAGCACCTTCGGATTGTCCCTCTGAACGTCTCATTTGCCCGGGCTCTTCCCCTTTCTCTTTCTTTCTGTGGCACTCTCAAAATGCAGAGGGAGAACCCGAGTGACCGGGGTCTGTTCTCTGACCTCCACACTCCCAGGCAGGAACCGCTGGCAGTCGGCAGTCGGAGGCCCTCGTCTCCAGTCTGCGTCTCTCTGTTCCGAGAGGCTGCAAACGCATACCTGCTGCTGGGACACGCCCCCCACCTGGAAGTGATTCCAACACTGACTTCCCCCACTATGCACTTTTGTTAGAATAAATTATTCCAATTAAAAAAAATTAAAAAGACAGAAGCATACTATGTAAAGGGAGAGGAAACTCGACCAAATGTCAGGCAGAGGCTAAATGAATCGAAACAGCCTTCATACACAGACGATTCTTAAGTGACCACCAGGCAACCCATCGGAAGCAAGGAGAGGGAAGGCCCTCCCAGGATACACGAGAGAGGGGGCGGGCCCACACCCACCAGGAGAGAAGCTGTACGACCTGGCGACACGTGGGGCCAGTGCATGGTCACTAGGGAACACTCGACCGTGGGAAATCCATCCTAAGGCCTGAGTCACACTCTAAAACACGGAGTTTGGAGTATACATTTAAATAACCAGACAGATATTTATTACAAAAGTCAGTTTATTTTCCCTTCCTGTGTTACATATTTTCCCTTTTTGTCAGTAATGAGCAATCAGACTGGAGATCTGCTCGATTAAATAATATTAACAAACACCAAATTTCAGAGTATAAAGCAGGATGTTGAAAAATATTCCCTAACCCAATGCAATCCTCAAAATTGCACATTTTCCCCCTAGTTTGTGTACATCATTTAAAATATTTATACAGAATGACCTCAAAATATGGGTGATTATGGGGTGGCAGGGGGCAAAAACCCAGAATTATCTCCTGGAGGGCAGGCCCCTTGTAGTACAGGCTCCCCGACTAGATGAGTGTTCTAGGAACCCACGTGTAACAGTGTACCAGCTGGTGTTGTTGTGAGAGGCTGCGTTTGGCTTCACTGGTCTCTCTCTTTTTTTTTTGAAGACTCTTTAAATAGTTTGCCCATTTCATGACGGGTCATTTACAAGCACACCTGCCCACACTGCGCTACGTGTTCAGCAGTTTTGGACCCAAAATAGCATGACCTTTGTGCTCCACCCTCCCTAGTCACCTGATCTCACTTTGAGCAACTTTTTTGTTTCCCCAAGATGAAAAAAGTCCTCGAAGGGAAATGTTTTGCTGATGTGTAAGAGGTGAAACAAAAATGGCACAAACACTGAAAGGCATCAAAATCTATGAGTTTAAAAACTGATTTGAGCAGTGGGAAAAAGGTCTCAATAAGTGCATTGCGTCAAATGGAGAGTACTCTGAAGGTGACTTAAGTTTAAACATGTAAGAATGAATACACAATTCCTTGTAATAAATTCTGGGATTCTGGGGGTCCCATCTCACGGTACAGAATTCACAGTCTTGAAGACGTACACTCTACAAACTTCTAAAGAACAGGTACCTAAATACCCCTGGGGCCCTAGTAATGCAGTACTTCGATTCAGTGCCACACCCCTGAATTACTTACTAGGACACAAGGCCTTTCCTTTTTCTCCAAGTTTAGTCCTCTTTTAAGTTAACTCAGGGAACCCGGCTGCACCCGAGATCAACCCCCTGGAAATAAGGCTGAGCAGAGTGGCTTCCCGGTGGGCCCCAGGCAGCAAATCTGGGGCCGAGTGCGTCGGACATGGGACACACGCTGCCATGTTCGCAGCGGACACATGTGTGGTCCTTGAAAGGGTGACTGAACCCTTTCAGGAGTCAGTCGGCTCTGAATGAAGACGGAAAACAAGCTGACAACAATTTGACGATATTTCTGCTTCTGTGTGTAGTGTGATTAACAAAGGCCTTCTTGATCCACAGTGGGCTTACGTTAGGTCCGGCTGGAGCACTTTATCAGGATCAGAGGCTTCGAAGAGGAGCCTCATTTCCAAACTCATCTCCAAAGCAAAATGCAACGAGTCTTTCTATTGCTGTAAACCACGCCCGGCTGCTTCGTGCTCACTCGGCTTTCCAGGTTGGAGAACAAGGGTCCGAGTCCCATACAGCCTTTCAGGTTAAAGGGATAAACCTCAACAGGCCCAGCGAAGACACCGGCAGATTCACAGGCCATTTGTACATTCATGAAACAACAATGAAGTTCATCAGTGACGGTTCCTGTAGTGTAGCAAAGCGACCCGGCCCCAGGCCGGTCAGCATCGCAGGGGCCCACGCTGCTGAAAGGGGCGTGGCTGTCTGAGGCTGTGCCGGGTCCCCTGACACAACCCCAAATAGGACGAATTAAAAGAAATAGCAGCAGTCCTGACGTGTGTCCCAGGATTCTCGTTCTTTTGCAGGCACAGTCACTCACTCAGCACGCGGGCCTGTCCCCTTTGCATGAGAGAGCATATCTCCCTCACTATTAATGGCGAGATAAACAGAACGGTACAACTTGTCTGTGAAGAGAAAAGAGCATGAAATGTGCGGTGATAATGGAACTGGGGCTGCTGGAGCACTGTGTTTTGAACATAATAATGACTTTGGACAATTACATTCATTCTGACTTCACACAAAGACAGCTCTAACCTTCAGGGAATTAGAAAATAATTCTGAAAATTACAGTTTGTATTACAAAAGACTTAATGTTACATTACAGTCTCCAAAAAAAGAACTGTTACGCAAATTAAATAATTTACAACAGGTGGAACAGAAAATCGATCCTGGGGCTCAGATGAAAAACGGCGTTACTTAAAACAGATCCGGTTTCTTTCCATTCCGATTTCTAGTACGATCATAACAGCGAGTTCACCAGGAGACGTCCCTCCACTTAGCAGGGGCACAGAACTGGACGGGTTCCTGACCGGCCTCTAGAAGGCACAAGGCGGTGGGCGGAAGAAAACGCCCTTTCCGAGAGCGCCGTGCGCCAGCCTGAAGGCGGCACCAGGGTGCTGAACGACCCGTGACTCGCTGGACAAGACGGCGGTGTCTGGCCTGGGACGACTGAGGCTGCCTCCGACTAGGGTGCCCTAGACTCAGGGACAGAAGCTGGGCGCGTCCCCGGTGGGTGAAGCTGTCACTCGGTGCTCTCCATCAGACCTGTCTTGGGCACCATCTCACTGACAAAGGGACAGATGTCATGTGCTCATTCAGAAAGCAGCATTTCAGAAGCACAAGGCCTTATTCCGTACTGGCCATTTCCCAGGAAGCAGCAGATCCCAGCCAGCAATGTCCAGGGCACCACGCATGTTTTCTCAGGAGACTCAAGGTTCTTTTTAGGAGCTGCACTTTTTTAACCCCATGTGGCTTGGCGCACACTGTAATTTCCTTCCGAATTTCTGAACTATCTTTACCAGAGAGCTCCCTGGAAGAGCACTCTGATTCACAGTTGCTGATACTTTAAATAAGTCTCTTGTCACTTTTTTCTGATTTTATAAATGACAACACTCATTAGACTCAGGTCAAGGGCAAACTAAGGGCCCTTTGCCTCCTTGAAACAAGAATGTCTTTACACTAATAAAATGTTACTTTTCACAAAAGGGTCTTTAAAAGCAATCAGCAGTTGTGCTGGTTTAAGAAGTGCTTTAAGTAAATGCTTTGAACTACATTAATAAGGAAACATACTAATTCAAAAAAAAGGGGGGGGCACCCACTTACCATGAGAATGAAGAAGTAGAAAACCCACATCCATCCTAGGTTGTCCTGGATCAAAGACACTAAATACTGTAAGGGAGAAAAATAAATGACAATACAACCCTCCATCACTAATAAAATGAAGTAGCTAAAAGTCGATTAAACGTGGCTCTTCTAAAAAATAAGAAGGGAGTTAGGGTTTGCGTAATGTTTTGCAGTTTACAAGGCCCTCTCACACGTGTTCCCATGGAAACTTCACGAACGACCCCCCCTCTGCAAGCCTGCAGGGGCCAGATGCAAACACTGCCTAAGAGAAGACATGGGTTCGAGAGGCTTCTTTCTTTTCACTTTGCTATTAAGGGAGGAGGATACACATCCTCGAGTCACTCCCGTTTAATCGTTCTTTCTTCCAATGCAAGGTACTAGAACTGAAGCCTTCAGAAATAGTTTGTCTTTTATGTCACTCATTTTACAATTAATGTTTGCTCATAGGATTACTGGACGACTTTTACTTTATTTTCAAACCATAAAAATAGCATTTAACCCACTTTTTTATTAAGGGAAAACAGAGAACGTACAATGTGCTCCTTTAACCACTTTTCAGCGCACACTCCGCGGCGTCAAACACACTCACGACGCTGCCCGACCCTCACCGCCGTCTGCTCACGAAAGCTTCCCTCACCCAAAGGGACCTCGGTACTCCTCGGGCAGCGACACCCCACTGCCCTCCCGTCCCCGCCCCTGGCAACCTCTACTGTGCCTTCTGTCTCTGCATTTGCCTGTTCCCGGTACTTCAGGTTCCGTGGAATCACGCAGTGTTTGTCCTTTGTGTCTGGCTTTTTTCACTTACAATAATGTTTGTAAGGTAACCCTGTTCTACATGTCGGAACTCCATTCCTGGTACTTCCTGCCAAGACGGAGGCGTAGGTAGACACACTATGCCTCCTCGCACAACCAAAACTAAGGACAACAAAAATTTAAAACAAGAAGACAACCAGATCTGACAGAAAACTGAACTGTACGCAAGTCCAACAACCATTCATTCAGACCAGTAAGAGGGGTGGAGTCAGCGACCGGCTACAGAGAGGGGTCCTGGCAGGAAAAAGCGGTGGCTAGCGACCCCAGCGCAGGGTGGCAATGGGCCGACCCAGTGAGGCGTGGGAGGAGGTTGGCTGACCGTGGTCACACATTCTCGCACAGATAAACCAGACGAAAATGAGACAGACCATGGAACCCAGGGCCCCAGTGATGGGAAATAAAGCCTCAAAACACCGATTGAAAACACTTCTGGGGGTTGAGGTGCAGGGAGAGACTCTTAGTCTCACAGGAGAGTTCACTGGAGAGACCCACAGGGTCCTAGAATGTACACAAGCCCACCCACCCGGGAACCAGCACCAGAAGGGCCCAATTTGCTTGTGGGAAGCAGCAGAGGGGACAGAAATCTGAGAGCGGACCTAGTGCCATTGTTCCTTCTGACCCCGCCCCCACATACAGCGTCACAACCCAGCAACTGGGTTGCCTCGCCCTGGTGAACACCTAAGGCTCCACCCCTCATACTTAACAGGCACAACCAGACCAAAAAAAAAAGGCTCAAACAGAAGAACAGATCAAAGTCTCAGAGCCAATACATCTAAATGACCAAGAAGATGCACAGCCAACCCATCAGATGCACAGTTCAAAGCACTGGTGATCAGGATGCTCACAGAACTGGTTGATTTTGGTCACAAATTAGATTAAAAAATGAAGGCTACACTAAGTGAAATGAAGCAAAATGCACAGGAAAACAATAGTGATGGGAAGGAAACTGGAACTTAAATCAATGGAGTGAACCAGAAGGAGGAAAAAAAATGACCAAACAGAAAATAAAGAAACAAGAATTCAAAAAAATGAGGAGAGGCTTAGGAACCTCTAGGACATCTTTAAATGCTCCAACATCCGAATTATAGGGGCACCAGAAGGAGAAGAGGAACAGCCATAAGTGGAACACTTATTTGAACAAATAATAAAGGAGAACTTTCCCAATCTGGCAAAGGAAATAGACTTCCAGGAAGTCCAGGAAGGTCAGAGAGTCCCAAAGAAGTTGGACCCAAGGAGGAACACACCAAGGCACATCATCATTACATTAGCCAAGGTTAAAATGAAAGAGAGAATTCTAGAAGCAGCAAGAGATAAGGGGACAGTCACCTACAAAGGAGTTCCCATCAGACTGTCAGCTGATTTCTCAAAAGAGACCTTACAGGCAAGAAGAGGCTGGGAAGAAGTATTCCAAGTCATGAAAGTCAAGGACCTACATCCAAGATTGTGTTACCCAACAAAGCTTTCATTTAGAATGGAAGGGCAGATAAAGTGCTTCTCAGATAAGATCAAATTCAAGGAGTTCATCATCACCAAGCCCTTATTACATGAAATATTAAAGGGACTTACTTAATAAAAAGAAAATAAAAAATATGAATAGTTAAAGGACAGCAAACCCATAGTTATTAACATCCACACCTAAAACAAAAGCAAACTAAGCAAACAACTAGAACAAGAACAGAACCACAGAAATGGAGATCACATGGAGGGTTAGCAACAGGGGAGTGGGAGGGGGAGAAGGTACAGAGAATAAGTAGCACAGATGGTAGGTAGAAAATATACAGGGGGGAGGGCAAGAATACTGTGGAAAATGTAGAAGCTGAAGAACTTATGATACATGGACATGAATTAAAGGGGGAGGGATGTGGGAGGGGGTGTGCAGGGTGGAGGGGAGTGAAGCGGGGGAAATGGGACAACTATAATGTCATAATCAGTAAAATATATTTAAAAAAAAACCTCCATTCCTTTCCACAGCTGAATGATATTCCACTGAACGGCTATCCCACCTTTGTCTATTCCCCTGTCTACTGACTGACACGTGGGTTCTTCCCACCTTGGGACTACTACGATAGTGGTTTCCACTGGGACTTGTACGCCCCAGTGAACACTGGCGTACAGGTATCTGAGGCCCTGTTTTTCATTCACTGGGGCTCTCCCTATACCCAGGCGTGGACGTGCTGGGTCACAGGGTGATTCTAACATCTGACTTGGAGAAATCACCACTGTGTTTTCTGTAGCAGCTGCACCATTCTGCATCCTCACCAGCAAGGCATGAGAGCTCTGATATCTACACATCCTCGTGAATACCTGTTTTTTAAATTAATTATACCCATCCTAACAGGTGTGAGGTGGTGTCCCCTTGTGCGTTTTTGTTTGCATTTTCCTAACAACTAAAAAAATTGAGAATCTTTTCAGGCATTTGTGCACATTTGTCATGACAATTTCTCCCAATGTTTTCTTCTAAAAGTTTTTTAGTTTTAGCTCTTAGAGTTAGGTATTCAATCCATTTGGAGTAAATTTCTATGTATGGTATAAGGTAAGGATCCAAATTAATTCCTCTGCATGTGTATATCCAGTTTTCTCAGGAGCATTTAGTGAAGAAACCATTCTTCCCCATTAAATGGTCTTGGCACCCTTGTCCAAAACCAGTTGGCCATAGCTCTGGCCAGGTGGCTCAGCTGCTTGGAACGTCATCCTGTGCACCAAGAGGTTTCAGGCTCAATCCCCGGTCAGGGCATATGCCTAGGTCATGGGTTCAATCCCCAGTCAGGGAGTATATGGGAGGCAGCTGATGAATGTTGCTCTCTCTCATCAATGTTTCTCTCTCCCCCCACCCCACCCCACCTTCCTCTCTTTCTAAAATCAATAAAAACATATCCTTGAGTGAGGACTCAAAAAATAAAATCAATTGACCATAGGTGTGAGAATTTAACTACCCCATGTTCTTTGATCACATTATTCATCCATCAGCTTTATAACAGGAAGAAATTAAAGCAGAACAGCTTAGTGATTTAGCCTGGGTCACATCTCAGGAAGCAAAGAAGCAGAGGTCTAGTCACCCACTGAAGGAAGCACAGTGGCCGTCCAAACACTGTCTGCTACTTTATCTTCCTTTTAAGTAACTTCACCGATACATGATTCACACATCATGACGCTCACGCATGTAAAGAGTAAAACTCGGTGGTGGTCAGCACACTCAGCACTGTGCAACCGACACTGGAACCTAAGCTGAGACATCATCCCCAAAGGAAGCCCTGTCCCTGTGACGCCCCAGGCCTATCCAACCCTGGGTGCGCACCCCCTACTCTCTGTCCTTATAAATTTGCCTATTCTGTATACTTCATCTGAATAAAATAATATACGGTATGTGGTCTCTCGTGACCGGCTTCTTTCACTTAGCACATTTTTTAGGTCCGTCCATGCTGTAGCACCTGCTGGTCCCTCGTTTCTCTATAACTGCCCAATAATACTTCTTTACCAGGGTACACCACATTTCATTTGTCCCTTCTTCAGTTGATGACCACGGGAATTGTTGCTACGTTTTAGCTGTTATAAGTAACAGTTATGAACATTTGTGTGCAAGTGTTGATGCGGACACTTGTTTTCATTCAGTCTTACTGAGCCCCTGCCACTTGTCAAAAGCTCGCTACGTGTTGGGAATAGGAAGAAGAACAAAGAGCCTGCTCTCAAGGAAAGCAGAATCCGGTCCAGTGGGAAGATAAACCAGTAAATGGGAGACACCGTGACCAGTGCCCCATCACAGGTATGCAACAACTGCTGTGGAAATCGGGAGGGAAAAAACATTTGGGGGTGGCGTCAAAGAAAGGAAGGGAGAATAAAGTTATTTGAGGTGAGTTTGGGGAGTAGCTAGAGAGAAGGCTGAGAAGAGTTTTTAATAGCAAATCATGGAGCTTACAATTTCATAACCCAGGCAATGGGAAATCTGTCAGAAACCAACACAAATGAGTGAAGCTAACAATGATGTACTCCTGATCCTGCTGCCCAAACCGTGAGTTAGGAATCTGAGGACTGCAAGAACTGAATTTCTCAGAAATTCTAAATAAAGGTAAACTCCCTGAAATGTTCATTGCAACCCACTCGTTTGATTAATGAAGAAAACATTTGCGAGGAAGAACAGCAAACTGCAGTGCTTTCAGAAAAAGACACCTAACACAGTCTCTCCTTACCGCTTGTATACAGACATCTCGACTGGCAGCCAAAGCATTCTCTGGTTCCTACTTCAAAGCACGATCGAGTAAGCAACTTCTCCTACCTCTGCTAAGTTTTCCCCCCTTCAGTCTCATGACCAATATGCTAAGCACGTCAGTCATGTCAATCATCCATTCTACAACCATTCAACAAACACCTGAACGTCTACCGGGTGCCAGGCACCACACTTGGTCCTGGGGCTGCGGTAGAGCACAAAGCAGAGCAAAGCCACCCTCATGACGCTTACACTGTGCTGGGGGAGACAGACACCAACGAGCACATGCCCAGTCCGTGGCTGGAGAGTGGGAAGTACTAAAGATGGTTTCTTTTCCTTCACACTTGCCCTCTCATTCACAACCGGATACCAGTGATCTATCCCCACTGAACAAGCAAAACGGCAATGACCTAAATGTCAAAACTACAAACCTTTCCCTCCCATTCTCCTTCCCCTGCCCTCTGCACATCTATGACCTTGCTAACTCCTCCTCAGATTCTGGATTCCTGTTTCTCTGACCATCGGGCATCCCCCATGGCTTTGTCTATGTTCTCCTTCCCCATTTAACATCTCATCGCTTCCGTAATTTCAACTACGCTACTCATGTGGCTGATTCTCAAATCCTTATTTCTGCAAAATCCGCACTCGGCGACCTGCAGCAGCATACCCCGGGAGAGGCATGACTCATGACCGTCCCAGACAGGAGATACCCTTCTGAGATAAGGCTGCTTTAAGGAAAAAAAGAGAGACCGAGCTAAAGAGTTCTTCCCACATACAGTAGGCCGGTCTCGGCCCAGAAGCTCTCTCTCTAGAGCACAGAAGACTCGCCAGTCGGCCTGCTGAAATACAGGCCCCCAGGCAATCTGCCGTATGCTCGGAGTTCTGTACCTCTGGTGAGCGTCCCAGGTGATCCTGATACAAGACACGCACAAACTGCCCTTGGAGACATGTTGTAGGAAGCCGAAAAAGGGACTCTGAGCAGCTGCAGTCCCTGGCCACTTCTGCCAGGGATCCGTGTGAAGAGTGTGTGTGTGTGTTTGGTAGTGTCTGCACCCCAGGTGGGGGATAATGAGAAGCATGTGTCTCACGGCCTCCCTGGAGTGTCAAGTTCAGGCTGAGAAACAGGGGGTGGCGGGTTGGGACTGAAGGATCTGTCTGATGAGGTGTGAGTTTATTTCCAGGCAGAAAGAATCTGGAAGTAAAAGTGGAAAAGGGACCTAGAAAGGTAGAGGTGCCTTCCCTACGAGGTCTCACCAGTCAGACCTCAGGGAAGACCAAACCCCCAGACTGAGTGCAGCCAGACCTTAGCAAAGATTAAACCCCGGGCTCTCAGTACAGCAGACCTCGGGGAAGACCAAGCCCCAGGCCCTCCGTGCAGCTCATTACAGCACAAGGGTGCCACCTACTGCAGCCCAGTGGGCAGGTGCAAACCCTCCCACTCAAATCAACCCCTCTACTGCTCACTCACCTGGCCCACGGCAGCTCCAATGCTCCCAGTCCCGTCAACAATCCCTGTGACAGTCGCCAAAGCCTCACTGCTCCCTTGGATCAGCTCCTGGCGACCCAGGTCAGCAGAAATAGCCGAGCTAATCATATTAGAAGGTCCACCAATAAAAAATCCTAAAGTCAAAAAAAATCCTAAAGTCATAAACAGAACAGGTTCTTATTAAAACACTATGACTCCACTAGGAATCTATTGAATAAGGCAAAGTCTTATCCCACAATTTTAATCAACATGTTGGAGAGAGAAGAAATGGGACAAGTGTAGTAGCATAAACAAACATTTAAAACTACGCTGGAGACAAACAGGAAAAAAGAGGGAAATAACCAGTAAAAATGGAATTTCTCTCAGGCAGTAACATCTTCAAACTAGCTAGCCTCCACTTTTGTAAAACCCCTTCCTGAGTGACACGACGTGCCAGTCCAGTTTACGGAAGCCAACGGTCCAAGGCCCAGGGTGAACACACAGCCTTCCCAACCCGGGAGCGCGTGCGCCTGTTACTGACCGACTGCACTCGCCGGTCCAACTGTCGTGGCAGAGGGGCCTCACGGAGCACCAGTGCACCACAGTCAACCGAGTACAATGAGAAGGGGACAGAGGGCAGAGGAAAAACCGTCCGCACTGCTCTCGGGGAGGCAGTCCGAGGACCCCAGGCGCCGGCCCCCGGGAACCTGCCAGCACAGCCGGAGTCGGCTCCCTGAGCCCCGGGCAGCAGGAGCAGCTCTCGCCATGCTGAGCGTGATCTCAAGTTCAAAATACAGAATCCTTCTGTAACATGGTCCCTAACTGCACTCAGCTGTTTCACCTGGGACGAGAGGGAAGAAATATTGACCAATTCCACGCAGGAGGCAAAACTAGCTATACAGGACTTTTAAAAGCTGCTGAACTGGTTTCCAGTGTGGTAGCTCCTAAGCCACTTCCAGAAGTGAGAGCCACTTCCAGATGAGAAGCTGGGCCACGATCACAACTGCTGGGACATCTCTGTCCAAAGGGACTGATTCCACAACAAAAGGGCTGAGGGGCCACGTAACAAACAACAGAGAAACAGACTCTGGAGGAGGAGTCTTTCATTCCACCACCTGAATTCTCTGCAGCTCAGGTTTCGGTGTTACCTGCGGAGGAAGGAGGACAGGGAGAGGAGCAGGTGCCGTACCTGTGACAGTCATCAGAAGAGCATTAATGGACTTATCGTTTGGAGAACCTGGGGGGGAAGACAGAAACAGCACGCTGATTGGAAAAGCGCGTTACATGGGCCTCCCCCCGACAGTCCACCAAGACCCGGTCCCTGTGACCCCACGGGTCACGCCCAGACATGACAGAGCGACACACTCTTTCACGGCCTCCCCCCACTTCCATTGGTAATGTCTGCCTCTTGCTGGCGCTCAAGCTAGTGAGACTGCTAAGAGCTGCAGAAAAACCCTACGCCCCTCTCGGCAGCACCTTAAGGGACATGTACCAAACCTCCTGACTAGCATTTTTCCTCTTTTGAAACCTTTTCTCTTCTTGTTTTATTGGTTCTAACGCTGTCCCTCTGGAGTAGGCTCCAGACAGAGCATAGACACTCTCGAGCCAGCCCCTAAACAAACCAACAAGGCAGAAGAGATGCCAGTGTCCTCCCCAATACGTAAAACTAAGTGGCGGTGCTTTCATCAGGTATGTACAGGACCATACGAAGGCCCCACACCGCGCCTGGGTAGCAGGTCTCGAGGATCCCCCCAGGGTTCATCACGACCTAAGGCAGGTGCCTCAGCCTAGGAGGTCAGGAATATAGTGTAACTGCAAGGGCACACTCACGACTGTACCCAACCAGGGACACGACGGCCAGAAGCAGACTCAGCGCCAGGACCGGCGCTCTCTTCTGTAAGACGTCAGAGATGAAGCCCAGCAGAGTTCCACCTGTAAGCACAGAGAACGTGCCACAATCACAATCATTTATACTGCAGCGCAGGCACCCGACACGTGCTCGTCGGGCACCTTCCATGTGCTATCGGGATCCTGAAACTGGTCTGGCCACAAAGGTGGCTCACTCTCCTACGAAGTTTCCTCCCTGACTTCCTCGTAAGGTGATTATTACCTGACTGTCCATTGTCACGACGGCCGACTGGGGCAAGGCACCACAAAGCAGAGAAGCAGACACCAAAATAAGAAATAGAGAAAATCGCCAAAACCACCCACTATGCCTTGCTGTGTTCCTTCTTCAAGCCAGCTGTGAAGGCTTTTCTGGATTTTTCTGCTTCTTGATTGAAAAGATGATCAAGGACCATGCCTCATGGTCTATCAGTAGCAGCCAATAAATATGAAGAGGAACCCCCCAAAGACAGAATTACCTTCTGAAGGGCAGGCCCCTTGCAGCACAGGCTTCCCCTGCCGGGGGAGTGTGCCAGGGTCCCACCTGGATCAGTGCACCAGCTGGTGCGGCTGTCAGAGGCTGCGCTCGGCTTCAGTGAATTTTGTTTGAAGACTCAACGCCTTTGCCCATTTTGTGATGGGTGATCTATGAGCGCACCTGCCCACACCACACTGAGTGTTTAGCAGTTCTGGACCCCAAAAGGCATGACCCCTGTGCCTCATCCTCCCTATTCACCTGGTCTCGCCCCTAACAACTTTATTTTTATTTCCCCAGATGAAAAAAGTCCTCAACAGGAAACACATTTCGCTGGTGTGGAAGAAGATAAACAAAAAAGGCAGAAACACTAAAAGGCATCAGAATCGACAAGCTCAAAAACTGGAGCGGCAGAAAAAACTCAACAGGTGTATCACGTCAAGTGGAGAGGAGCACCGTGAAGGTGACTGAAGTTTAAACATGTAAGAAGGAAGTTTAAACATGTACAATTTTTTATAAATAAATTCCTTTTTTGGGGGGTCCCTCTCACATTCACTAAAATGAAACGCAGAAATTACAGTTCACTAATAACTAGCGGGTCCTGGTGTTTACAAAGAGGAGATACGCATCCTTCAAGCAGCACGGTCACACTGAGCTGCAGTCCCGTGTTAAGTTCTAGGGCTCGGGGACACCTGGTGCATCTTTATCAGACAGCAGGACACAGACGCACGGGCGGCTCTGAAGGCAGCCACCTCGCCTCCGGCTCACGGCCTAAGAGTAAGGGTGGCCCTGACTGGTGTGACTTAGTTGGCTGAGTGTTGTCCCGAAAAACGAAAGGCCACTGGTTTGATTCCCAGTCAGGGCACAGCTTGGGTTGCAGATTTGGTCCCCAGTGGGGCACATGCAAAAGACAACTGACTGATGTTTCTCTCACACATCGAGGTTTCTTCCCTTTCTCCCTCCCTCCCTGCTCTCTAAAAATAAAATCTTTAAAGAATTTTTTAAACAGTAAGTAAAGGCAAACAAGTCCAAACACAGCAAGAGCGTGCCACTGAAGGATACACGGGTGCTCTCATGGGCTCGGGGCAGTTCAGCCTTACCGCAGTTCTAAACATGAATGAACATCACAGAAAGGACCTCAGGTTTTATCATAGCCATTTAAGTCTTACCCACTAAAATGCATTCTGTACATGTCTGATGAAAAGTTTTCTACTGCCCTGGCTGGTGTGGCTCAGTGGAGTGAGCGCCAGCCTGCAAACCAAAGGGTTGCTGGTTCAATTCCCAGTCAAAGCACATGCCTGGGCTACAGGCCAGGTCCCTAGTAGGGGGTGCGTGAGAGGCAACCATACATTGATATTTCTCTCCCTCTCTTTCTCCCTCCCTTCTCCTCTCTCTAAAAATAAATAAATGAAAATCTTTTTTAAGTTTCCTACTTCCCTGTTTATACTTCCAGCTATTACAAACAGTCACTACTAAAATCTACTGTGGACAAACCAGCTAAAAAACATTCACAAACATTAATTCCTGCTATTATTCCTACCTCTATGATCAGACAATCTATGCACTAAGCCAATGTGTATAGCTAAGGGCTAAGACATTAAAGGAGATCATAGAGGAAAACATCCCAAGACAGAAGCACAGTTCTGTCAACGAAGGACTGAGAAATAAGGGCCCCATAAATCACAGGGCTGCCGTAGGCTGGGTCTTCTCTTCTACAGACTTTTTTCCTTTAAGAGTGTGACTGTTTACTGGTAGGGTAGTTTAGGAAAAATGGCTATGGAATAAACAATAAAACTTGAGATGATGCCAGATGTCATAACCCAGTAAAAGATCACTAGTGACTAGTGATTCTAGAAAAAGATGCATGACGGGCATTACCTATAATCCCTCCAACGTCATACCAAATGGACAGCTTGTCAGCTTCCGCCTCCTTCCATCCAAAGTTGCTGCTCAGGTAGAAGGGCAACCAGAAGAAGAAGGAGTAATTCACTAACTTCAGGCAGGCATAGGCCAGCGAGTACTGCAAGACAGACGTTCAGTCATCAGTAAGGACCAGCGCGGCACGGCAGGACCACAACTTCTCGGCAGCGCCTGACTGTAAAATTAAATGCTTCCACCAATTCCCACTGGCCTGACTCGACCCGGTCTCCCTCTTCTCTAACCCCGTTACCTCCTAGAAAGACATGCATTGCAGGCCTTTGGAACAGAAAACGCACATGCCCATCTCCCAACTCTCTGCACTTTGTTCTCCTTTCAGGTCCCGGGTAGAAGCAAACCAGTGTTTTGGAACTGTAAGGCAGGGCACATACTCATATTTCCTTATTTAAACAAAAATTAAAGGTATTCATTTGTGCCGCTGACTAGCATTAACCATAAGCAAACAAATGCAGTAAAGATCAGTTTCAACTGCTAGCAGCCAAACTATTTTAGCTCTTCTACTCCCCGCAAAGTTAATACTGTGAATGATGAAGAGCACCATGACTAAATTCCGGTGTGAAGGTCTAAAAAAAGCATCAACATTACAACTACCTTCACATTCCAGTTTCCAAGGGCTTTACATTCTCACATCCCGTGGAAACACACAGAGTGTCTCTGCTGGGCCAAAAAGGAAAGAACGCACTTGTCACAGGGCTCGTGGCTCTACTTTTACGAATAAAAGATGCAGCTGCCTTAAGGTGGCAGTGGCGCTAAGACGCCTGTATTCAACACATTACTACCAGGAAATCCTGACACAGAGCACCAAAGGAAAGAGGAGGAGGAACACAGAGACTGCTTCAAAGGGTGTCTGGCTAGTATATTCTCCTCCCTGGAGCTGCCAGTTATTCCCGAGGTACCACTGGTTTTAAAACAGCCTCCCTGGCCAGGCAGCAGCCGCCCCCAGAGGGCCCGGGCCCAGGCACGAGTGCATTCTGCCCAGACGGTCTGCTCCGGAGACAAAGGAATTGCATTAACTAGATTTCCTTCACCTCCCTTCCCAGGTCAGGGAACAACAGCTTGGGACACACAAAGGAAGAGCGACAGACTCCACACTCGGTCATAACAAATTTAAGTTCTATCTCAGAAATTAATCTCTTACCAGCAGAGCATTTTAATAACTGGTTAAAGTAATCATTAGCATAAGAACAGGCCTAGAGAAACCTGCATTTCCCTTACACGACACATCACATTTTAAAGACCATGGGAACTTACATGTTCACTCATATCTGACTATGTGTTTGCAAAGGTCAGTTCTCCCAGTTAGCGCGGGGGGCGCGGGCAGAAGGGAGCCGGCAGGCGTGGGGTAAGACAACCTGCAGACTCTGATTCCAGCTCCGGGGTTACACTCAGAAGCACCAGAGAACAATAAATACAAACAGGTGTGTTCACAATACGAGGACGCTCTAGACCCCAGGGGAGACGGGTATCTTTCTATTCCACAGAAGGGGAACCGAGACTCGAGGATGCGCTGAGCGACTTGCCCCAGGCCGCCCAGAGAGGGAGTGGCTAAGCTGGAAACATAACTAGGCCTCTTAACCTCCACTCCCGTGCCACGGTGCCCGAAACACCAAGACAGAAAAACTGCTGCAGAAGGCATTTAGTTCAGACATTAGGAAGTTCTCCTGACTGTAACGGTTGTGGAAACACTGGGATGCGTTACCAAGAAACACCGTGTAGTACTGTGCTCTGGACCTTTCAGGAAAAGGCCCAACAATGGTGTCCACCGGAATACGAACGTGGGCAATTACGGCAGATCTGACCCATTCAAAACTCCTCTTGGTTGACATACAATGTTATAATGCTGCCACAGGCCAAAAGCGTACATTTAAAACCAACTCTGCCTTCTTCTTCGAATGCTAGGGCAGGTTCGGCAAACGAGGGCTCGAGGCCAACCCTAGCCTGCCCACGTGTTCCATGTGGCCCACGGTTTCTTTGGCTCTCAAGTTAAGTAGTGGTGGCAGAGGCTGTGCAGTCCCCACAAAAGTCAAAAACATCTACTGTCTGGCTCTTCACAGACAAGGTCTACTGACCTCTGAATCAGGTATCAAAAAACGTCAGTGGTGCCAACATAAAAATAAGCTGAGGGGCACTAGCCAATATTCCTCTGAACGTAAACGTCTACAACTCAGTATCAGAGAGAAGCGCGTTAAAGATGCTTCGCCCGGGCCGAGGTAACCCCCTGGCTGTCGCATCTCACGGGCTGGAGGAAGGACACCTGGCCGATCCTTACCGGTATGACTCCAGGAAGGCAACAGGCCTGGTGAAAGCTTATTGCCTTGATCTGGGTGACAGTACTGCCTTCTTGGATTGAATAATTAGCCTCATACTCATCTTCATTTTCAGCACCATTAATTAATGGCCTGTGCGAGTCTTCTTCAAAATTTTCTTCTGCTTCAATGCCAGGGAGACCTAAAACAACAGTTAACAGCCGTCACTTGTGGGCGCCTGGCACTGTGCTAAGTGTTGTGCATGCATCGTTACTTACGGGGTCACTATTATTTTATTTCCACTTTACGAAAGAAGCAACGAAGTTCAGAGGCCAAGGTCAACTAAGGTCAATGAGGATCACATAGCAGCAAACCCAGGTCTCTAATTCTACTTTATTGGGCTTCAATGCAATGTGTTTTCAGCTAAATCACACTAGCTCTTTAATATGCAAAGAGTTAATTACATACTATTAAACTGATGTGCTTCTTTAACAACATTCAAAAGATAGAACCGTACATCAATTTGCTTCTGCAGTTTCGCTCATACAGATTCTGTATTCAACCAGAGATAAGTATCTTGCTACGTTATTTTTCTGAAGGAGAAGAAATCTGTCTCAACCAGTGAAATTGAAAACATATCATGCTAATTTCTAACCAGTGTCTCCATTACAAAAGTCATGGGCACATGAGGACTTCTCCCTGTATCTACAAAAGGTGAGCCTCACCCCCTCAAACACGCGCGGCCAGGCCCGGCAGAGCGGGACACGGGACACGGGACACAAGCAGCGACGCTGCTCCTTTAACCCACTGAAAAGAGCTCCCAGTTCTCCTAGGGAAAGAGAGACTGGCTGTCCTGGCCTCAGATTTCTCTTCGCTGATAATAGTAAGACGCTGTGAACAGAAGTGACGCTTGTCCTCACCAATTTCTTCGGGGGACACCAGGAGTCCAAAGAAGATGACGATCCCACCAGCAAACTGCACAGCGGCCGTCACCAGAAAGGCATACTGCAGGAGAGAGGCAGGGGCCCTTACACATCTGGGACACTCGTCAGAGGCCCGTGTGGGAGGCGGGGTGAGGGCTGGGGCGGGAAGGCCTGGGAGACTGGGGCGAGACCAAGTGCCGAGTGCTCGGCCTGTGCGGGCGCTGAGCTGGCTTTACCAGTGTTTCCTCTTCGGCTCTCCCGGGCTCCCCTGAACAATGAGTGGCACTACTGTGATCGTGAAATCAGGGCTAGCTCCAAACACCTCCTTCTTACACCGCACAGCCTCCCATAAGACAGTATGTGCCATCAAAGATATTCTGCCCAGTTGAGCGGATCAAACAGTAAACCAAATAATGTAAGGCAGCACAGAGCTGAATAAACGGGGAGACCCACTCCTAATAAGAAACATGTATACGAATTTAAGAGGAATTAACAGCTGCAGAGGCTGAAGTCGCTACACAACCCTTTGAGGCAGAGCGGGAAAGCAAAGGAACTGACCATCTCTCCAGCACAACTGAAGCAAAGGCACTGGGTGGGAGGCAGAAGCTTCTGCTGGGAAGTAACAGGGAACACAGACCCGACTTGGGAAGGTGAGATCAAGATTAAAGACTCTCAAAAGCTAGGCTGCGTAGCCGAATTTTATGTAATAGACAACGGAGCCTGATATGGATAGACGGTCTAAATTTTTGAACAAGTCAGTGACAAAAGTAGTGTTTTCAGAGGTCAAATGTGGGAACATCACCTAGGGTGAACAAACATTCCTATCTGAACCAATCGGTACAATCCAGGCATGAAGCTAAAAAGCCTAGAATAAGGGAGACTGTGGACACTGGAAGGGTTTCCCATCGGCCCTACGCAGACATGAGGCCACACGTTCACCTGATTCCAGCAACAAGAAGCAGATGCACAGTAAAAACCCTCCCCCTCCCATCCACTCAACCCTCATTTTCCAATCCTATAACCACTGTTGTTACTACAGCTTTACTTCCCAGAGATTGTCTGAGAAACATACAGGCCAATACAAAGATGTACTCCTGACTGCTTCCTTCATTTTACACAAATGGTGTCACTTAATACTCACTGTGTTGCACCCTTGCTTTCTTCACTTAACACAGTGCTACCTTGGTCCTTGTCATTAATTCACTCTGATGAGTGGCAAGCAAGCACCAAGTGCTGAAACATGTTTTCTCATCAAAAGGCAACAAGTACCAGGTGTGACGAGTACCAAGGCACCACTGCATACATATGCACCACCGAGATGTTTCCCCATCGGCACAGGGAGAGCCGTGCAATTCTCTTTCACAGCTGCACGGCATTCCACGAACAGGTGTATGACAGTGTAACTATTTCCCTTTTGGTTGCCACGCGTTATCAAAGTCTTGCTATGACAAACAACGCCGAAATAAATGTCCTGTAGATCTGTGACTCTGTGCGTGCCGAGGTGCTCCCCTGTGGGGTCAATTCCTGCGGCTGTCATTTTGACGGACAGCCCCATACTGACCCCAACCAGGGCCTGTTTACTTTGCCAACTATAACGCCTGCTGCTCTGCATCCTCGTAAGCACATTGTTCTCACACTTTGGGATTTTCGGCAACCTCATAAATATTCAGTGTCGTTTCTTTCTTTTTCACGGTGCGGTTTTAATTTGCCTTTCTCCTCCGACAACACCTACGCTCCACAAGGGGCGGACACGTTGCCCCTTTCGGCCAGCGTCCATTCTCTACCGCCCGGAGGCGCTTAGAGGAACTTAGTAAATGTTAATGAAATAAAGTTACAAATGAAGTAGAATTTCTTTTATGTTTACAAGCTGTTTCTGTTCCCTTTTCATCAACTACATGCTCAAGTCTCTTACCTTTTTTCTTATCAGCTGGAGGGTGTTTTTTTATATGGGAAGATTACGTCTATATGAGTTGCAACGACCTTTCCTAATTGACTGTCTTTAGACTTGGGTGTTTTCCAAGAAAAATGTTTTAATCTGTCAAAAGTGTGTTTGCTTTTAACATAAGCCTTGCCCTACTGAGCCCCAGCTCAAAGTGGTCTTAAAGGGCCACGGTACTATTTCCTAAAAAATATAGGTATATGAGATGAGATCTGTAAGAAGTCCAGCCATCGTTAATGTAATAAGAGCAGTTTGCTCAACATGGACGTAACCTGGAAGCCAAAAGGGATGAACTGGAATGCACATGCGTGAACAACAATCACTTCACCGTACCAGGCAGTGGCGATGGTAGACACAGCTGAGTGGGCATGTGTACTGTGTGGCCGTCGCATTCAAAACGACAGAGCAAGTAGAGCAATGAATCTGCATCGAACTTTGCACTAAGCTTGAACATTACAGTGCGGAAACTATTTGGATGACTCAGAAGGCTGCAGCTATGTGCAACTGGTGATTGGCAGCTTCATCAGGACAGTGTGTCTGCTCATGCATCACGTCTCATAGTTTTTTTGGCTAAACATCAAATCGTCTAGGTAACTCAACCCCCTTACAGCTCAGATTTGGCACCCTGCAACTTCTGGCTTTTCCCAAAACTAAAATCACCTTTGAAAGGGTAGAGATTTCGGACTGTTGATGAGATTTAGGAAAATACAACAGAGCGGCTGATGGCAGCTGGGAGAACTGTGTGAGGTCCCAGGGTGCCTACTGTGAAGGGGACTGAGACATCGTTTTCCTTTTCAGATGTTTCTTATATCCTGTATCTTCTTCAATAAATGTCTACTTTTTAAAGATTTTATTACTCATTTATCTTTAGGGGGGAAGGGAAGGAGAGAGGGAGAGAAACATCAGTGTGGGGCTGCCTCCAGTGGGTCCCCTGCTGGGAACCGGCCTGCGACCCAGGCATGTGCCCTGACTGGGAATCGAACCTCGATCCCAGAGTTCGCAGGCCCGTGCTCAATCCACTGGGCTACACCAGTCAGGTAAAAGCCTCTATTTTTTCACAGTACCTGGCTGGATACTCTCTGGACAGACCTCCTTTGTATTTACACACTCGAGGAAGAGCTAGAAAGAAACACCTACCTCATAACCGCACTGCAGGACGGAAGAGGCGAGGCACGCTCCCAGAATGTTGCCCACGGAAGCACAGGCGCTCCAGAGACCAAACACCACTCCTCGCCTAAGACGGGGACGGTGGAGAGCGGAGGAGACAGTGTGAGACGGGGTTCGATTCGCAGTTCAAGTACAAAACGGCCAAAACAATAGACGTTCACACTACAGAGAATCAACGTTCTAAGGTTTTCTTAAGCATACCCAATGGCAAAACATGAGGTCTCTTCAAACTCTAAGATTTTATTATACTAAAGCTTCATTTAGGTCTCACTGAAAGAAAGTACTAAGAAGATTTAAAAAGACAAGTTACAGATAGAAGAAGATAGTGTGTGTCGCTTATCTCATGAGACTTGGTATCTGGAACATAAAGAAGCCTCAAAACCCAACAATATGGAATCAGACAATGCAATTAAAGTGTTAAAAAGTACAAGTCTATGATCATCTCAAAATAAAAAATTCTGAAAAGGGGGCAAAAGATTTCAATATACTTCACATATAAAAATATGCAAATAAGCACATGAAAAGACGCTCTATATCATCAGACACTAGGGAAATGCAAATTAAAACTGCAATGAGGTATCGCTGTATGTCTAGAGAAGAGCCAGAATCACAAAAGACCAACCATACCAAGTGCTGGCAAAGGTACACGGAAACTAGAACCCTTTACACTCTGTTGGCAAGGAGATGTCAAATGGTACAACCATGTGGAAGACACTGCTGATTTCTTAAAAAGATATAAACACATCTACTGTAAGATGCAGCCATTCTAGTCCAAGGCATTTGCCCGCGGGAAATGAAAGCCTAGTCCACAGAAGGATCTGCACACAAGTGTCCGCAGGAACTGTTCGTAACAGCCCGAAACTGGAAACGACACCCACGTGCACCTGAAGGCGGGCAGGTCGACGAACTGCGGTGCGACGAATCACTGTTTAGCTGTGGGGAGGACGGACCACTGACGCACGACATGCACGCGTCTCTAAGGATGCTGCGTGAAGAGAAGAAACGAGAAAGAGTGGCCCCTCTGCGACCCCACTGAGATGCGACCTGGGGAAGTTCTAATTAATCTAAAGTGGCAGGAGGCAGATGGAAGCAGTTGTCCGCAGACGGCAGTGGGCGGGACAGGGCTGTACTGGGAGGGGTGGGGGGACTGCCAAGGAGCATAAGGGAACCTTTGGGGGTGAGGTGCTGTCCATTATCTTCACTGTGATGATGGTTTGAAGGGTGTACTCATGCCCACACCCATCAAATGGCACAGTTTAAATATGTGTGGCTTACTGTGTACCCAACACGCCATTTTTAACGTGATGGCTAGGAGCCTGGTGGAAGGAAAACCAGCTCTTACAATAGTCTCGGAGAAAAACGCATCAGCTCTGAACACCGGCAATGGCAGTAAGGTTGGTGGAAGAAAAAGTGTTTATGAAAAGTTAATTTGTTCAAAGTTCACATATGTATTTTATCTACTTGATACATATTATTAACACACTGTGTAAGATTATCTAGCTCTTTAGCCCTGACCGGTGTGGCTCGGTTTCAGGCCGGGACCATGCGACAGGCAACCAATTGATATTTCTCTCACACATCGATGTTTCCCTCCCTCTCCTTTTCCCCTGTCCTTCCACCCCCTAAAAATAAATACATAAAATCTTTTTAAAAAATTATCTAGCTCTTTAAACATTTTTATAACCAGTGCTGCCCAAGTGTTCGAATTCACATTACCGAGCCTCCATTTGTTTTAACAAACTCGGACCTGAGAGCCAGGAAAGGGGGCCCGACCTGTCCAAGGTGACGGCTTTTCTCAACAACGTCAATGCTTTTCTGCATTCCCCTGCGCCCCAACTTTCTGCACCTGGAAAACAACTGATTTGAATGTGGCCATTCCTACCTTCTTCCCCAGTGCTAAAATGCCTGGATCCTCTAAAATACATCAGACCTGCCAAGAGGGTTCTGGAGGAAAGAGTGAGACGGGCAGGCTCTGAAATACCCCCCGCTGGCCAAAGGCATGCTTTAACAAGAAGCTGGCTGAAAATAACTGTGATCTGAGGTTGCCGTCAGCCCACTGACAGTCTGCAGTTTATTGTTACATTTCCCTGCGTCTCAGGCAGCGTGCATCGTCCTTTTCACTCACTAGTGCTGCTGGTTTAATAAACTTTAAAAAACAAACTGTGCTGGCTTTCCTGAATGTTTTGTTTCTTTGTAACTGACCCACAGAAATCGCAAAGGGCCAGCCCGCCCTGTCACTGCTGTCAAATAGCCAGTGTTACCCAATTTATAGAAACTCAGATGAAAATGATCTCCAAGTGGCACGTCAAAGTAATTCTCTTTGAGTGACAGGCTCTCGGGTGGTTTTGCCTTTACTTCTCTTTGCTCAATTATCTTATCTGGTTTGTATCCAATAAACCAGTAACCTTTATATAATTTTCAACAACCGTTGACTGAAAACAAATTACCTTAAAAAGCTTAATTAAAAAAAAAACAGCACATGAGCAGACAGCACCCCCTGCTGCCAAAGAAAACCAGAGTGGGACAGGAACAAGTGCCTCTCAAATCAGTTCTGTTCATAACAGTGCTGCTGGGGGTAGAAGGAGGCAGCAATCGTGTGCGCGCTGAGCACAACTGGAGCGTCCTCAGGGAGCGGCGCCTATTGTGACGAGACGTGCCACAGGTAAAACACACTGTTACAGACCCCGAGCCAGCAAGCATCATCACCACCCCACCCGCCCCCGTGAGACCTCGAAAGCTGGGAAGTGAGAGGAGTCCTCAGAGCACATGCGCTGACGGCTGCATGGGGTGGACAGCGTCTGGTGCATCCACGGGCCTCGATGTGAACGTGCAAACAACAAAGGTACAACTTCCGGCCAAGATGGAGGCTTAGATATGTGCCCCCTTGCACAACAAAAAGGAGGACAACCACAAATTTAAAAACAAAAACAAACGGAACTGACAGAAAATCGAACTGTATGGCAGCCTGACAATCAAGGAGTTAAAGGAAAAACATTCGCCCAGACTAGTAAGAGGTGGGGAGGACTCGCAGCGAGGAGGCCCCACGTTCTCGTGCAGAGAAACCAGGAGGAGGAGCAAGTGGGGAGCGGGACCAACCACACGACCCAGGGCTCCAGGGCAGGGAAATAAAGCCTCAAACCTCTGACTGGAAACATCTGTGGGGGTTGAGGCAGTAGCAGGAGAAGCCCCCAGCCTCACAGAAGAGTTCGTTGAGGAGACCCACAGGGTACTAGAATGTACACAAGCCCACCCACCCAGGAATCAGCACCAGAAGGGCCCAATTTGATTGTGGGTATTGGGGAAAGTGACTGAAAACCCGCAGAGAGTAGAGCAAGCGGCACTGTTCCTTCCCAGATCCCTCCCCACATACAGCAACGTGGGTTGCCCCACCCTGGTGAACACCTAAGGTTCTGCCCCTTCTACACAACAGGTGAGCCAACACAAAAAAGAAATGGCCCAAATAAAAGAACAGTTCAAAGCTCCAGAAAAAAATACAACTAAGCGACAAAGAGAAAGCCAACCTATCAGATGCACAGTTCAAAACACTGGTTATCAGGATGCTCCAGAACTCACTGGGTCCTTCAACAGCGTAAAAAAGACCCAGGCAGCAATGAAGGTTGAATTATGTGAAACAGAGAAAAATCTGTGGGGAACCAACAGTGACAGGAAGGAAACTGGGACTCAAATCAATGGAGTGGACCGGCAGGAAAAAAGAAACCGAACAGAAGAGAATGAAGAAACAATTCAAAAAACTGAGGAGAGGCTTAGGAACCTCCAGGACATCTTTAAACGTTCCAACATCCAAATCAGGGGTGCCAGAAGGGGAAGACAAAGAACAAAAAACTGAAGAATTATTTGAACAAATAATGAAGGAGAACTTCCCCAATCTGGCAAAGAAAATAGACTTCCGGGAAGTCCAAGAAGGTCAGAGAGTCCCAAAGAAGTCAGACCCAAGGAGGAACACACCAAGGCACATCATAATTAAATCAGACAAGATTAAAATGAAGGAGAGAATCTTAGAAGCAGCAAGAGGAAAGGAGACAATTACCTACAAAGGAGTTCCTATTAGACTATCAGCTGATTCTCAAAAAACAAACAAACAACAAAAAAAAAACCTTGCAGGGAAGAAGGGGCTGGAAAGAAGTATTCCAACTCATGAAAGGCAAGGACCTACATCCAAGATTGCTCTATCCAGTAAAGCTTTCATTTAGAATGAAGTGCTTCACAGATAAGGTCAAGTTAAAGTAGTTCATCATCACCCAGCCTTTATTATATGAAATGTTAAAGAAATTTATCTAAAAAAAGAAAACAAAAAATATGAACAGTAAAACGACAGCAAACTCACAGCTATTAACAACCAAACCTAAAAAAAACAAAAACAAACTAGGCAAACAACTAAAACAGAGAATCACAGAAGATTCTGTGGAGATCACATGGAGGGTTATCAGTGGGGGAGTTGGAGGAGGAGAGAGGGGGAAAAGGTACAGAGAATAATTAGCATAGATGGTAGGTAGAAAATAGATGGGGACGGTAAGAATAGTATAGGAAATATAAATGTCAAAGAGCATATATGTACACTAACCCTAACCCCCACATGAACTAAAGGGGGGGAATGTGGGTGGGAGGGGGTGTGCAGAGTGGAGGGGAACACAGGGCAGAAAATGGGACAACTGCAATAGCATATCAATAAAATATATTTATAAAAAAAGAAAAAAGGTAGAGCCACCAATAAAATAAATGTGCATCTCACAACACAAAACTATTTATCTATAAAAACTGATAATGGTTCAAATTAGTGATATTCCTGAAACTGGAGAATCACAAGTAATGATAAACAAAGCCAAGTCTTTGGGGGTCTTGACTTATTCCCACCCATCCTATACACTAAGCACGCTCTTCCTCCTGGTGGTCTAGAAGACACTTCAGCAGGTGCCCACCCTCACACCTTGGCCGCACTGCACACACAAACTCAAATGCAATCTAACAACTACTTAAAGGTTCAGGGGAAACGCCCCCACGTTCCGCATACTCCACCTGCGTCTTATTGGAGCCTTTGCTATGTGACGTTAGGCCAGTCCCAAGGACCACTTTGGCCCCAGTTTCCTTGTCTTTACCGGAGGAAGGCTAAAGAAGATCACCGAGTCTCAAAAGGGGGAAAGAAAGGCAAAACCCTCAGCAAACACACGCTGGGACGGCACATGAGATGCTTATGCTCTTTAAGGGGAAGATGAAAGAAAAACCAAGACACGCCACCTTAGCCGCACTCAGAATCTGACTACGGCCCACATGAGGCCGGAGTGAGGCCGGAGTGAGGCCGGAGTGCAGGGCAAGGGACCGACTGGGCCCGACCTTCACTAAGGTCCACACCGTGCCCAACACACTCTGACGTGAAACCCCTCCATACGCTACTCTAACTCCCTAACATGAAGGATGCGGGCGGTGTGGGAGGGACGAGTTAACTGGCGAGTCTGAACGGCCCGGTGTTAAAGCCACTTGAAGAGAGCAGTGACCAGGGAAGGAGGCGGCATACCCAGCTTTCCCAAACCAGTTGCCCATGACGGCGACCACGCAGGGCCACCCCGTGGACTGCAGCAGGCCGTTCACGATCCACAGGCAGCAGTACAGCCACTTGTTGTAGAAATGCAGCCATTCCGTGACCGTGCCAAAGACAAACACCTTGGAGAAGGGGAGAAAGAGGGACATGTGACATCCACCCGGACACGTGGACACACTCAACTGCCAAGCACTTATGTTTCTGCGTGAAGAACCACAGGCAGGAGACACTCAACGTCTAGACCTGGGAGACGCGTGGCCACCCCTTGGGACGCTGCTGCTCCAGGCAGCACTGAGTGAGGGAGACAGTCACCAAACCGCCACCAGCCGAAGAGGCAAAGATGTCACAAAGCATAAAACTCATCAGTGATCATCCCTCCGACTCATGTCGTCCACTCTGAAAATTAAATCTTCACTGTTCAGCCTCCTTTCATACCTACAGTTGACCCTTGAACAGCACGGCAGTCAGAAATCCATGTACAACTTTTCACTGCCCCAAAACTTAACCTCTAATAGCTCACTGTTAGCCGGAAGCCTTACCAATAATATAAACAGTCGATCAATGCACACTTTGTATGTTTATGTATTATATGCTGTATTCTTACAATAAAGCTAGAAAACATGTTATTAAGAAAACCATAAAAGAAAATGTATTTACAGCATCTACTGAAAAAAATCCCCATAGAAGTGGGCCCGTGCAGCTAATGGCCGTGTTGTCCAAGGGTCGCCCGCAATTCCGTCTCCCCTTCCTCGGGCCTGTGTCTGTGGAGGATGGTTACGGGGACTCAGTCCAGGCGGGTGGTTCAAGTCACAACCACACCAGCCGTATGGAGGGGACTGGGAGGCACCGGCTGTTACTGTCACTGCTGCTGCTAACAATCGGAGTAACTCGGGACAGGCTGCACGATCTAAGAGCATTCATGTAACCGCTTTTTTCCAGACAGTTCGCTTGTGTGAACATTTCATTTGCGGCTGAGGTCTCTTTTGGGAATACTTGTCATGGGTACGTATAATACTGTCTGCTTCCAGTTACATGACGCTCCGAAATGAGCGAAACTGGGAAGGACAGAAGGTCAGGAGGAGGAGAGGTGGGAGTTACATGTCTATACTCACTTGTCCAAGTTCAGGTCCGTACACTAAAAAGGGTGTGTTTATGTACATATCTCAATTTCTGTACAAAACTATTTAAGTTTTAAAACAGGTTTTCAAACAGTACATATATACATGTGGGTAAGCAGCTTGTGAATAAAGTGGGTAAATCTCTAAAATTTCAAAGAAAAAAATGGCAGACTTTAAAAAACAATAAAATAGTCTATTCTCCACACCTTCATTCGATCAACAACAATCTCTCGCCAGACCCTCGTAAGCAAATAAAGACGACTCAGACAACGGTCTCGCGCACGTGCTGCGCCAGGCACTGTCCCAAACACCTTGCCCACAGTAACTCGCCCAGCCCCATGACAGCCCTGGGTGGGGGGGTTCAGGGGAGGAAGCCGCAGCACAGAGAAACTGGAGAGGAGACTGAAACCAGGCTGTGCGTCTCAGGAAGTCTGTGGTCTCGGCCACGAGGCCCCGGCCTCCCAGGGAAAGCAAGACTGACAGAGACATGCGCAGACTAGGCAGGACACATGATCCGTGCCTCCAAAGAAATACAGGCAGGGAGCCGAGAAGAGGGAACGGGACTTCTAGGAGGGGCGTCAGTGAAGTAAGGCGCTATGAAGGAAGTGTCATTGGGCCAGGGCCTTGAAGGAGACGCTGAGGGAGACTATGCAGAGCCGAAAAGGGGGCCACGCAAGGCAGAACAAGCAGCAGAAGCAACAGCAAGTGAGGCAGAAGGGAGCCGGGAACGGCAGGGCCACACAAAGGAGTCTGATGGAGCACAGTGGAGATGCAGGGACAGACGGCCCTGGAAAAGCGGACTGGGACCAGGCTCTGGGGAGCACGGAACCCCACGACGCTATTTATGAGCTGCCTTTGCTGGGGACTGAGAGTCAAGGAAGGGGCATGACCCAGGTGATACCTTTAAAAGACTCCCCTGACTGAAAAGGTAGGCCAGGGGTTCAAAAACTAAACATTAATTCTACCACTGTCTTCTACATACAGAAGTAATGCTTGCATTCCAAAATGCCTGGCAAAAATCACAATTATCATCATCATCATTTTTTGAAAACTTTCAAACTTACCACTAATGCAGAGGAGCACATGCCAAAAGACAGAACACATCGCAAATTCAGCCGATCCCCGACAATACCGCTGATGAAGAGGCCCTAAAAACAAAGCATTTAATTTTACAGCCTGAATAACAACAGACAGGAAAAAAGAGGCATTGCAAACCAATGAGGCAAGCAAGAGAGTGAGATTATTTCAAATCAAATCTCATCTTCATGCCTAGACAAGCTGTCTCTATCAGGTTCACAAACATTTCATGAAATGACACCAGGGCTTCTGCACACCTCATGCACTGAGACATCATAATTCAGTGCAAACTTGGGTTCTATTTGATCCTCTAACTGCCTAAAAGGAGACCGAGGGGGGGAAAAAACCCCAAGAATTATTCTAATTAAACAAGAACATAAATACACTTCAATTTTCTAGAATAGATGAACTCCTAAACGCCAGTCATCCGCTTTCCCAAGGGATTCCTCTTAGCTTTCTGCATTCTGAATGAAGATGGGTCCCAACATGCCCTGCAGGACAGAAGCTTCGAGAGCACAGGTGCTGCCTGTTTAATGTGACCCTTGGGCTTCATGACATCACAAGGCAGGGAGCCCAGGGAGGCAGAGGCAATAATTAGTTGAACTTAGGCACAAATATTCTGCCTTCTGCTCGTCTCCCACGGATCAGCAACAATTAAAATGCTCAGACCATGGCAGCGAGCAGACTAAAGAGCTAAGGGCAACACACTTAGGTTTCTTCCACAAACACGTAAAATGGAAGTGAGTCCTTACTAAAAGCCTAAATTCTGATGTAAGTTTTTCTAATAAACTATCTATACCAGAGAAAATTTACACGATAAATGTCACAATAAACCTTACTCCCTCATTACTGACAAGCTTTCACGACCCCAAAAGAGGCACCTGCAAGCGCTGGAGATTTCACGTTCTGTGGCTGCTGCTCACAGTCTTTGCTACGGACAGACTACAAAGGGGGTGAGGAAACTGTCTATTATGCTCCGGATCCGGAGTCGGACACCCAGAGGTCGGAGAAGACGATGCAGCTCCACGCGGAGACCACAACCAGCGAGTGCTCCCCGCACTTCGTTTCACCTCCCAAGCCTATCTGACCCCACAGACAGGTACCGTCACCAACTCCACAGATGAGGAAACTGAGTATCAAAAAATGGTTAATGCCAGTGGGGCGGCAAGGTTAACACAGCTCGGTGGTGGTGGTAGAACTGGTTTTGCCACTAGGCTCCACTGCTTCTTAAAATAGTCCGTAAAAGCTGCTGACAACTCCAGATGCCCACACGCTGGGATTCTGTACCGAAAATGCCCGGGGTGAGGAGCTGGGGTACAGGATCTAAGATCTGTTTCAACCTTTTCTGTAACTTTCCTCTTTGAAGAAAAAAAATTCTCCTAATTACCCAAATAAACATTTAGAGATTACTTTGGGACTTCCACCCAGTATTGCACATCACCTGGGCTTCAAGCTTTAAAAAAAAAGGCTTTTGTTAGCACTGGACATGTTTTTGAGCCAGGAAATAAGATGCTGGAGAGAAAAGGTCAGACTGTGCCCAGTCCCAGCTGCTGCCACCACCGGCCCCCCAACGCTCTCTCGGCAGCCAGCACGGGCGTTCCCTAAAGGCAGACACTCTGGCTGCCCAGTCCGAGAAGACGGCCCCCAACAGAGTGAGCCTGGCCACCCTGGCCCGACTCCCGGAGCCCCGGCTCCTCAATGCTCCCATCCCAGCCTCCTGTCCGGTCCTCGTCTTCCCACCTCTAAATGCTGGGAACCCACAGCTGCACCTTCACACTTCTTCTCTAGCCTCAACTCTCGATGATTTCACACAGTCTCGTAATTTTAAAAAACAGGTACATACAAAGGACTCCGAAATCTGTACCTCTGGCCTGTTCTAGACACACTGACCTCACTTCCCCACTCAGGTCTTTGTTCAAATACCCCCTTGTCGGCGAGGTTTCGCCAGCCACCCTATTTAAATTATACCCCTCCCAAGTTCTCCATTCCCCTTTCCCTGCTTCAGTTTTCTCCGCCACCCTCACCACCTTTAAACGTACTTTATAATTTACTTATTTATTGCATTTTGTTACTGTTTGTCTCTCAGCTCCCACTCCAAGAATATGAGCTTTACGAAGGTAGAGACCTTTCCTGTGTTGTCCACTGATGAACTCTCACTGACTGGAAAGGCACCTGGCGCATGCTAGGTGCTCACCAAGTGCTTGTCAAATAAATGAATGAATGAATGAATGGATGAATGGATGAGGACACAAAGTACACGCTTCGGCCAATCTGATCTCTCCTCAGTCAGCAAATTCAGAACCTCTTATGAAGTTGGGGAGTCTCACATCTTTGTTTACACCTTTTACATCTTTCTTTAAAAACCCCGGAATTCTAAAACTCACCACGGCATAGGAGAAGAGGAAAAGAGTGTCCAGTGTCCCGAGGAAAAGAGTGGCTTCCTCAGCGCTGGGAAACAAGCGGTTGCTGCTCCAGACCTGCAGAAACACAACAAGAACCTGTCAGCCCTGCAGCATCCGCTCGTGCTCATGTCTGTCAAGCACCTTCACGTGCAACCCCTGCCCACTCTCCGAGTCCCGGCGATGCTGAAAGGAGCAAACAGGTCCTGTACAGAGAGGAAGCACACGCGCACAGTCAGAACTATTCACACAGCACAGCAGGCCTCCCCCCCATGGTTAAAACTATCACATGACACAGTAGCCCCCCTTATCCACAGTTCTGCTTTGCACAGTTTCAGGTACCTGGGGTCAACCGAGGTCCAAAATATGACAGTACTGTGAGGGAGAAGGTGAGGGAGGAGGAATGCATGTGCAAGCATGAGCAGTGGGAAGAAGGCAGGGAAAAGAAAGAGAGAGAGACCACACTCACGTCATTTTTTCAAATGATAGCTTATTTGTTTAAGATTTTATTTATTTATAGAGAAAGGGGAAGGGAGAGAGGGAGAGAAACATCAATGCATGCTTGCCTCTTGAGCGCCCCCTGCCAGGGACCTGGCCCACAACCCTGGCATGTGCCCTGACTGGGAATGGAACCTATGACTTTTTCCTACGCAGGCTGGCACTCAATCTACTGAGCCTCTACTGAGCCAGGGCTCACATCACTTTTATCACGACGTATTGTTATAACTGTTTATAATTACCTATTATTGTTGATCTGTTACTGAGCCTAATTTCAAAATTAATCTTTATTAGAGGTATGTCTATGAGGAAAAGGCACCGAATACACGGGGTTTGGTACTATCCACAGTTCCAGGCATCCACTGGGGTCCTGGAGCGCACCCCCGGAGACGAGGGGACTGCTGCACTGAAATCCATTTTCCTCCTCCCTTTACCTTTTCCATCAGTGGTACACAAGCTGCAGCGGGCGAAACCGCCGTGCCTCGGCATGGATTCCGCAGTCACGCCCATCGGTGCTGTATTAACCACTGTGTTCTTCGCCGCCCCATTCCCAGTAAAAAAAAAGTCAACTGCACTTCAGAATGTCCTGGACGAAGCAGTAAAAACTAGTCACTGCACCGAATCTGGCCGAGTAGGCCTACTTTTACTGCGCGGCATGACGGAGTGGAAGACGCACACCAGCGCTCCCCACACTGAAGAGGGGGCTGCGGGGGGGGGAGGCGTCTGTGCGGCTGCGTGAGCTGCAAGCGGCACAGTCAGTTCCACTTGGAGGAACTACTGACAGACACGGTGCCCAGTTCTGAGGACTTGCGTATCTGGCAGGTCGGAGAATCGGGCAGAATTTTCCTCAAAAAAGAACGAACCAGCCTGTCACTTCAAGATTCATTTAAAGTACAAGAAAGACAAATGGATCTTAATGTAGGGTTCTCAAAAGTTAATTGATACAGTTTCAGATTCCACACTGCAACTACCCTTCAAGAAACTGTCACCTGTCAAATTCTGGTGTAGTTATCAAAGACAAACACCTATAATTAACTGAAAAGGCTGTTAAAATATTCCCCCCTTTCCCACCATGTATCTGTGGAAGCCAAACTCTCTTTGGAAACCTGAAAGGACCACGTTGCAAGAAACTGAATTCAGAAGCAGACATGAAAACCCATTGTCTTCTACTCAGCCAGACATGAAGAGATTTGCAAAAATGTGACAATCAATGCCGTTCTCCTCGGTGACTTTTTTTGACTTGAAAAAGTCATTTTTCATAAAATGTCATTCATGTTAACATGCTCTGGGTTTATTTATTCATTTGAAAATAAGTTTTTTGGTTTTTTAAAATTTATTTAATTATTGTTCAAGTACAGTTTTCTGTCTTTTACTCCTATCCCAGCCCATTCCCCGGCCAGTGGTCCCCACCTCTCTCCCGTTGTCCCCCGCCCCCCGCCTTAATTTTTGTCCATGTGTCCCTTACACTTGTTCCTGTGAATCCTTTCCCTTTTCCCCTGAAATTCTCTCCCCTCTCCCCTCTGGTCCCTGTCATCCTATTCTGTATTTCAGTGTCTTTGGTCATATTTTGCTTGCTTGTTTGTTTTGTTGATTAGGTTCCAGTTAAAGGTGAAATCATAGGGTTATTTGTCTTTCACCGCCTGGCTTATTTCGCTCAGCATAATGCTTTCCAATTCCATTCATGTTGTTGCAAAGGGTAGGAGCTCCTTTCTTTCTGCTGCATAGAATTCCATTGTGTAAATGTACCATAGTTTTTGGATCCATTCATTTACTGATGGGCACCTAGGTTGCTTCCAACTCTTGGCTATTATAAATTGTGCTGCTATGAACATTGGGGTGCATAGGTTCTTTTGGATTGGTGAAAATAATTTTTAAAACTAATGTATTTTTTTTTATTTCTCAGTTTTTTCTAGAGAACAGTAAATACCCATGAACATAAACCACATAACCAAAAAGTTCACAAACTGCTAAACTAAATGATTTCTGAGATGGACTGGTAAAGAAAGGAAATTTTCACTTAAGAATAGTAAGAACCCTGGCTGGTGTGGCTCAGTGGATTGGGCACTAGCCTGTAAACCTAAACATCACCAGTTCAATTCCTGGTCAAGGCACATGCCTGAGCTGCAGGCCAGGTCCCCAGGTGGGGGATGTGCAAGAGGCAACCAATCAGTTTCTCTCCCACTCTTTCTCCCTCACTTCCCTTCTCTCTGAAAATATTTTTAAAAAATAATAGTAAAAAGAAAAATCACAAACAGCAATTAAAAATACACGCATGTTTAAAAAAAAGTAAAACCCCAAATTATAAGAGAATATATACACATGATTCTGAAGTACTGGGACTCATGTCTGGCAGGCTCATGGCACCGGTCTGTTAACCTGAACAGGCCTCAGGCGCTACTTTCCTGACGGGTGAGAAAGCAGCTCACACGGCGGGATGGACCAGTGTTTCTGGGAGCCAGGTGGGGCCCCAAATGTCTCCAGTTGGGCATTCTGCCACATTTTCCCTTCAACCACAATCTCTGATCCCTGATGCCCTCTGAGCTCAACCGGACCCAGGATTAAGCCCCGCTGGACACACACCCATCGGACCTAGAGACCTGGCACCTCAAGCAGCTGCTGCCAGTTCAGGGTTTTCTGAACTTTTCGAGAAGCCGGCAAACTCCTGCAGGTGAGGCTTTGCCAGGAACTGACAGGTGGCAAACAGCTTTCTTCTGCTTCACCAGAAGCAGAATTCGGCTGAAACACATTTCTGCTTGCCTACTTTAACAAGTGTAAGCCAAACGGAACCAAAAACAAAAACAATGAAGTAGGCCAAACAGAAAAGGTTCAGAAAACAGGTTAACAGTAAAAAGCCTATAAAGAAAGTCTGTCAATGGACACAGCCCCGATCAGGACGACACTATCAGCAGGTGAGAAATGGTCCAAGTGCACACAGCGATTGTTTAATGAAAGTCATGGACAAAAATGACTCAGGCGCTGCACCTAGCCTGCGAGTACACACGATTACCACGGGAACGTGCCTGCCCATATGGGTGCAGGGCTTTCTCGGGTGGTGGGGGCAGGAGCTTTGCCAACCACTACAACTGCTACTTCCTGGAAGCAAGACACTGTGGGCACATTCGAAAGGTCACGGTAAGGACGTCTGTCCCCGAGTGAGGGCTGTGCAAGGAGGTGCGGGAACTACTGCCACGAAGAGCTTCCTGGGCGGGCTCAGGCGGCGCGGCCGGGGTCTGCTCTCCGTCTGGGGTGCCCCCTGAGGGACAGCCGCTGCGGGTGAGGCTGAGACGGGTGCTGAGCACGCCCTGAGCCCTGCTTCTGCTTCCCTCTGCTGGAGAGAACAGCAGGCTCTCTTACGCTGTTCTCCGGGAAGGACTCTACTGCCCAGAGAAGTAAGACTTTTTAGTAGAATAGATTTTTGTTTGTAATTTTCAGTTAAGTAGTCCTCAAACATTAGATTTAACCATTACCTCTTTATTATCTATAAACATAGACTTCATGCTAGTCCCACTTAATATTCCAGTGTTTGTCCACATCAGTGGGATCCATTATAAATTCGTCAGGTATAGAGACTGTTTGCTTGGTTTTTGTAAAGCCCCTAAGGCAGCTATGCAGAAAAACAAAACCTATACTACGTACTTTCTGAGGATGCTGTTTAAGGCATTTAAGAGATGTTTACCAACATATATAAATAGAATCCTTTTTAGAGTTCAGACTCATTTTACACAGGCTTCTGGCACTAAGCACTTTTCCACTCTGGACAACTAAGACAGCCTCAAAGGGAAGCTGGAGTGAAGGCGCCACAGACCCAAAAGCACGGGGGTGGCGGGGGGGGGGGGTAAGTACCTGCTGCCTCAGCCTCTGCACACCCAGCAGCTTCGGAAAGCCAACCCCACACTGCGGAGTCTGGAGGAAGGTAGGTAGCACTGCTCTCCGTGAGGGCGAGGGCGGGGCAGATGAACACAGCCCTCCGGAAAAGTCAGCACTTGACTCCTACGTAATTCACCCACACTACTTACTCAAGAGTTCCGAACCACCGGAATGATGAAACCTGTTTTAGCAGCAGAGTAAGTATCCAAATAGAAAAATCATTGCAAGTTCACAACCAGCTCATAAAGTAACAGGGTTCCTAGAAGGAAAAGAGCTGACACAGCAGGGCTGAGACTGCTACCCTTAAGAAGACCTATTTGGCCTGCGGTCTGCAAGCCTGGATCCCGGGAGGTCCCCATGACTCCCTGCTGGGACCGGCGGCCATGCCTGTACTGTGGTTTACACTTCACGCCTGCTTTCCTTCGGGGGGTGTGGAATTTTCGTCTGTGCCAGGCAGAGAGTGCCCACGTGACCAGCCCCAGTAACAACCGGGGCACCCTGTCTCCCCCCTGGGTTTCCCCTCTCGTGCTGCAAGCGTGAAGCACATCCTGTGTGTCTACTGGTTTCCCCCAGCCTCGCCCTCTGTGCCTGTCCCTTTGCTGACTCTGCTCCGCATCCTCTCGCTGTAATAAACCACAGCTTTCAATGCAACTACATGCTGAGCACTGTCAGTCCTCCCAGGGAATCATCAACCTGGGGTGGTCTTGGAGGCCCCCACCCATCACCTAAAACACAAAGGCAGCCTCAGGAGTACAACCAGAAATCTAGGGCCTAAACCAAACCCTGTCGGGCTGAGGGAGCCAGGGATGTTCTACCTAAACAAGAAAAACACAAGGAGACAAGTGTTCTTCAGCTATTCTACAGGCTATCGGACAGCGGGAACACAGCGTGCACAAACTACAAAGCAGAACACTTTCACCTCAACAGAAAAACTTCCTAAAAATGTAACTGTCCACCTCAGAAAGCAAGAAGTTTCTTCTGCCTACAAGTTTTAAAACAGAAGCTGGACAGTCACCCTCCAGTAGCCACAGAGATGCCACACTGCTGCGGGGGCTCTCCGAGGCCGGTCCCCATGGAAGGTCTACGGTGACCACTGGGGGTGCTCGCTGTGCAGAAAGCACTAGCCAAGCCAGTGTCCGTCAGAAATCCAGCCCTCTGTTGGTCTTATTAAAGATTTTATTGATTTATTTTTAGAGAGAAGGGAAGGGAGGGAGAAAGAGAGGGAGGGAACCGTCAATGTGTGGTTGCCCCTCACATGCCCCCTACTGGGGACCTGGCCTGCAACCCAGGCATGTGCCTCGACTAGGAATTGAACCTGCGACCCTTTGGTTTACAGGCCAGCCCTCAATCCACTGAGCCACACCAGCCAGGGCAAGCCCTCTGTTCTTAACATCTTTCCTCTTAAAAGTTCCTAAGCAAGTGAATGAAACAAAATAGAAGGACTGAAGAGGAACCCAGAGGTGGGCACAGTTCCCTCCTTAGACCCCTCCCAGCGTTTTGTTCTGCTTACCTCTGCAGGTTCCAGGGATCTGTTAAAAGCGGTAGGGGTCCACTGGTTAGAGATGCTGACTTTGACATTGCTAAACGTTTTCCTTGATGCATGCAGCAACGAGTAACTACAAAAGAGAAGTACGGCTGAATGAATAGCAAAGAAAGTGGCGTTCAATGATATCACACATATATTCCTGTTGGTTTCATTCAAATTTAGAATTCTTCTGTTTAAAAAAAGAGAAAGTACTGCTTTTTAAGGACTACCAACTGAAAACCAGTCTCCGTTAAGCAAAATAAATAAATAACTAGTCTCTTCCATATGAGCCCCCAAATTCAACTGTAACTTATCCCTGCACATAGAAGGTGGCGCTGTGACTCATCCCAACCCACTTTAAATTACGATTTCAGTTCTGTAAGAAAATGTTTACGTCTTGAGCAAACAGTGGCTGGTCACTGCACTAGCCATTCAGTAGCTTTTCCTTTGGCTCCGGCTTATCCCCGTACTGCTGCTCCCCCCCACCCCACAGAAGGATACACCCCAAACCAAGCACACAAAACTGCCTACCAATTCTTACATGATTACGGGACCACCTTCCTAATTTCTACCTTATCATAAAACAAAAAAAAAACCACCCTCATTTTGGGTACCTTCAATAAAGAAGAAAATCTATTCAGAAGAAATAGCTGAGTCACAGGGTTACGAATAACACGCCCCTGACACCGAGAGGCCACTGAGGCCACCGACTCATAAACAAGGACAGTTCTTTAGTCATGCTGGCTGCTCAGCGCTCTCCCCTGAGTAACCCGAGCGCCTCCCGACCGTCTCTTACCAGCCACTCTTACTGCTCCAGGAGGCAAAGGGCAGTCCCTGAATGTGCCCTTTGTTCTCGAGCTCCCGGTTTGAACAAATAAAGGACTTTATACTGGATCAGGTCTTCTCAACCACAGCACCACTGACATTTCGGAGGCCTGAAGTGTCTACTGTGGGGGGTTGTCTGGTGCATTTTTGGATGTTTAGCAGCAACCCTGGTCTCTGCCCACGAGATGCAAGTAGCATGATGACCAGCAAGAAAGTGTCTCCAGACAGTGCCAACCAAATATGGGCCAAACAGCTCCCCAGCACTACTGTACCAGAGCTACGGAAAAGTACAGGATGAGTAACTAGTCTGTTTCGCTGTATGCCCACCAATCTCTGCTACTAGTAAGTTATCTCCTCCAAGGCAGAACGACGCCAGGAGAAGAGCTGCAGCAACCCGCTCACCTGAAGAAGGTGAGCAGGAACACGGCCACGTGGTGGTGGCTGAGCCGGGACAGGAGCGCGCCTCTGGGAAAGAGGTCTGGCCAGGCCATGTTCCCCAGGCTTCCTTGTAGCCTTTGACCTTCAAGTGTGGACAGTGAATGATCACACCATTTCCTCCTTCTGAAAAGACAAAACACATTATTAACATTACTCAGAGCAGGCAGATTATCCAAACTGAATTACTCAGACTTAACACCAGTCAGCATATAATCAGGCCTTGAAAGAAAAATCATGCGGGCTTGCTGACCCCAGATGGATAGATAATTGTATTTTATAGCAATTAGCTAGTCCTTAAGGAAAAAAAAAAAAAGGGAATCCTTGACCAAAGAGCACACCCTAACAGAAAGAACTCTCGTACAAATGGATTTTTAAAAAACTAGTGAAATTTAAAAATCACTAATTTTAACAGAAAAAAATGAGCAAAGGAAGTGAACCGTCAACTCAGAAGAAATGAAACGGCTATTACACTTGCCAAATAAAAGTTCCAATCTCACTAGTAATATAAGAAATGGTAATGAGGGCAAGAGAATGCTGCACAGTGAAAACAGATTGAGGCCAAGGCAGCTCAAGGTCCAGTGGTTTCCGAACTCTCATACGATGCCGACAAAGTGCAAATCAGTACAGTATTACAGGAAGACAATCCGGCCAAGTTCATCAAGAGCCTCTGACACAAAAATTTAATTTCCAGGGACCTAGTCCTAAAGAAATACAAGATGCGTTCGGGTCTAATAAACAAAGCTAGTTTTCACTAAGTGTCAAAGGAGCTTTTTTACTGTAAAGAAATGAACTCGAGTCCATCCTAAGAGAACAGGGGAAAGAGGCAGGGCGCTCCCGGGCCGTCTCTCCCCATTACCTGCTTGGAGCAGCCCTCTCTGAAAGCTGCATCCCGGCTCTGGCAGCCAAGGGTAATTAGGGAAAAAGTAAGCATCTCAACGTAATGTCTCCAGTTACGAGTCTGCAGAAACAACCTCAATATGAAATGAGTGGGATGATTAAATTACTGTATACCTACATGACTACTTTATAATAATTTAACAAGATGAATTAACTTTTTAGTAATAAGAGAAAATTTCATATAAAAAAGTAGGATATGACAAATATAATCACCTCTGTGTTTACATAATATTTACAAATAACTAGGGAATATACTAGTTCTCCTTAGGTAGTAGGATTATGGGTACATTTAATTTTCTATATACTTTTCTAAAAAGTCTACAATAAATGTGTATATTACTACTTTGATAATCAAAAGGGAAACATCACGGCACCGGAAAAGTCCTATAATTGATCTGCACTATGAGGAAAAAATTAAACTAAATTAACAAAGTGACTTGTATGATAAATACACTACGTCAAGGTAGGAGACAAACTCAAGAGCCCCCAACACCAAAATCAGCAAACCACAGGGCTCGGCCTTCAAGGCGGCACTCTCTGTAACTGCTATTACACTCCCGTGTTCACTAGCTGCAGCTTGGTAGGTGTATCCGAACCCTAAATACTGAGACCCCCAGCCTAGAGGCCATTCTTAATGAACATTACATTCGTTTCTCTTATTGGCTGCAAGCCCTTGAACAAGTCAATCTCTATGCACGGCAGGTGGTCTTCTGTGAAATGGCCTCTCTTCTAACAGTTATGTGACCAAAATAAACAATGTATGCAAGGAATTAAGATAATTATTTGAGCCACTGATCTGCCCAAGATTAATCCCACGTCACCAGAATGTAGCTAACTTCATTTACTCATTCTCCCCGAAAAATGGTAACAAAATTATGAGCTGGGTTAAGACTATAAAATTCCATTTAGACAATGTAACAAACTTTCTGTCTACAATTCCAGGAAGTTTAAAACCAAGAGCTATTATTAGTGTTACTGCTAAAGTTACCTGCATCCCCAAAATTAAACATGAAGTCCAAGTGGAACAACCCGAAGCCGTTCTTTATAGAGCACCTCTCTCTGAACATACTCACAACTTGAAACACTCTACTGAGTACTTCAGGAAAGGCTATGGATTATGAAATTCAGTAATTTATTATGGAAAATAATTCCAAAAACATACGCTCCAAGAGATTAGGATTACATCATATCGGCAGTAATGGGATGGTTGTGTGTTTCAGGATTATACAGTTACATTCACAGCATTAATGGCTGACGAACGGTTTGAGACCATCTGAATTTTGTTTCTAAATAAAACTCTGTTTTCTTGGCTACAGTGATGGGGGAGAAAAGGCTTAATTAAGTATGTCGGGAAAATGGTTTTAAACACTCACTTGCTATGGGCAGCATGACTTCTGAAAGGAATAGTATTATAACATCTGGTCCTAGGTAACGAGAATAACTAATAAAAATAATACCTTGCCCACTTCATCACAGGAGTGGCTTCTAATCCTCTACAAGCTCTGGGCGAGGCAGAAACACAGAGGCTTTGCCAGGTCTGAGCCCAACCTATGCATCTAACTTCCTGAAGGCCCTTTTCTTTCCTGCTCTGAACACAGGCTAACACATGTCTAAATTTTTCGAGTGTATGTACATGCTGTTCTAATTAATAGGGTCAAAATTCATTTAAGTAGCTTGAATTCACAGTAGGTTGTCATTTAGTATTTCTTAAATCAATGGACACTGAACATACATACAACTATAATGAGAACAAGAACTATCTTAAAAAAAAAACAAATTAAAAATAAGATCCTTGCCATCGAAAAGGATTCAGAACCACTGACCCATGTTTCACTTCTCAAAGCAAGTTCAAGGTCACTACCTCATCTGGTTCAAAATGAAGCTCGTTTTGGGTTCTAGAAGATCGTCCACACATGGTATGTTCCATTCCAATGTTGAATGAAGGATGGTTTTGCATGTAACATGTCCAGACAGAAGGCAATCTCCCCCTTATACACACTGCCTTGGAACACAAAACATTCTAAAATTTTCACTTTCTATAGATGTGTAGAGTCCATTCCAACCCAAATAGTAAAATTTCAAGTTGTCTCGTATTAAATGGACTGTGGGACAAGCAGACCACATGGTGGGAAGGGGAGAGATGGGCAGGAAAGGCGACAACCTGCGCGAAGCATCTAGCGTGCACCTCGGGCGGCCCAGCCTTCACCCGCCCGACCTGTCGCCACGCTCTGGAAATGCACACACGGGGCTGATAAACTTTGCTGTGCGGTAGCCAACTCCCCCCGCCTGCCTCATACGACCTCACTTCCTCCGAGGTCTCTCAGGGAAAAGTGAGCTTTCTTTTCCTTGCAAAACCCCGGCTTCTTTGAAACCCACGCCCTGGGCTTTTCCGCCCGCGGTGCTGACAGCTGTCACCGTCTGCCCCGTCACTGCAGACAGCTCCTGCCTGGCTCCTCCGCACCACGGCTCCATCTCATTTCACACCCACGGGGTGACCCGACCACGTCCCTGTCCTCTTCACACCACCAATCTTCTCCTCTCTCCCACAATACAAAGCCACTCCGTGGTCAAAACCTGGTCCCTGTCATCCCCGGTACCTGAATCACCGCCTCAAACTGGATTCCACGCATCCTTTCCTTCTGGAAAACTGCCTGCTTTCCTATTCTCCACTCCGACAGTCATTCAGACGTCATTTCACTGCAGCAAGGCTCCCAGCGTTCCCAGTTTTCGGCCACCTCGCCAATTTTTCATCATCCGTCACCCTCCTCTCGTCCTCATTTCCTTCTTTACCAACTCAGAACCTGAACCACGACACTATTTTTGCTTGCCTCTGTCCCCCTTCGCTGTGCCCGAGCAGCTGAGTTTTGCCAGAGACAAATCACACCTGCCGCTGGTCTCACTCTTTAGATTCAAAACCACAAACCTCAAAGAGCCTGCAATACCGCCCAGCCGGGCTCCACTTCCCTAATCGCCCTGGCTGTCTCAACCTCTCAGACGGCTGCTTCACACTCCTCTTTCAACCCCCAACGTTCTCTCCCTCTTCTTCCATCTAGTACCCAGCTTTCTGCGGTGGCTCTACGACACTCGCAGGTTCCGACAGCACAGCCAACCGAACACGTGGTATCCCTCCTGCACCGAAAACAGAATCCTCCACGCTCCCTCCAAACCCAGGCCTCCCCCACTCTGCCCCACCTCCGCGGATGTGTCACCACGGCTCCACGTTGCCCAAGCAATGACGGCCTTACCTTCATTGCTCCTTTCCTCCTGGCTTCCACACATAACCCATTCCGAAGCCCAGGCCCTGCTGCCTGCTACACGCATCCCATCCCATCCTTTCCTCTGCAGCCCCACAGCCGGCACGAAGATGAGCCACCCGATCTGCCACCAAGCCGGCCACACTGCCTCCAGCAGGGCTTCACTGCTTCTCCCTGCACCCCACCCACCTCACCATTCTCCACACAGCAGCCACAACGTGCCCTGAAGCACACATAGCTGTCACTCCTCTGCTCCACACACTGTGACGGCTCCCCAAGACTCAGATAAAAACACGCGACTTGTTGCCTTGCCCTCCCAAGACTGCACAGCCCAGCCCTCTGTAGGAAAGGAGGAAGGTTAAGGGTGGGGTTGGCGGAGGAGGGCTAACGATGAAGGAGGGGGCTGCCGGAGCAACAGATAAAGAGATTGGGCTTAGTTTTGTTTAAGTTATTAATTTTCTTTTAAAAAAGATTATCTATATGTTTATTTCCAGAGAGAAGGGAAGAGAGGGAGAAAGAGAGGGAGGGAAACATTCATGTGTGGTTGCCTCCCGTGCACCCCCAACTGAGGACCTAGCCCGCAACCCAGGCATGTGCCCTGACTAGGAATTGAACCCACAACCCTTTGGTTTGCCAGCCGGTGCTCAGTCCACTGAGCCACACCAGCCAGGGCTAAATTATCAGTTTTCAATATGTCCTATATGCCTAAGGTAGAAAGTTCAAAAGACACCAAAGGCGCACAGCGACATCTCGCTCCCTGTTCTTGTCACCACGTGCCACCAGTTTTTTCTGCATCCTACACTTTCCAGGCACAGCCCTTCACACTCACAAGTACACAAATGGCATACGACATGTACACTGTTCTGCACCATTTTTTTGCCTTCACTTACCAGGGGTTGGGGGTCTGTCCACACCTTCCCCTATGAACCTCCGCATCCCAGGCTATGGGACATCTGGGCGGCTCCCAGCCCT